ACGTACTACGTACGTACGTTACCGTACCTTACCACGTTAAACTAACCGTACTACTAACGAACTACCTACTTACGTAATTACTAACGTAGTACGTCTCTCTCTCTCTCTCTCTCTCTCTCTCTCTCTCTCTCTCTCTTATATACTACCACCAAAACCTCCATCTCAGGGCCAACCCCCAGCCGGGCGCCATCATTCATGTCTCAACCTCCATTCTCAGTCCACATCTAAGCCAGATAAAGTGAACCAAGCAACAGGCCCACTAGTGCCACATCTCTTTGTACGCCCAATACCCTCCATCTTCCTATCTCCCCTCCTAATGCATACAGTAGTCTCTTTTAGAATCTCTTACTGACCAGGCTCAATCGGGCCACCGGGCAGCCCATATGCATCATTTGATGAAAGAACTCCAGTTGCAAGCAACAGAGACAGGATTTATTGGTCTGTCATAAGTTCACAAGTTTATTATTAACCAATACGATATTTTGAATTAAGTTAAACAATATTTTTCAAGCATTACTGTCGTTTTAGGGTTGATGGTTAGGTTGTTATTGCACACCACATACCCAGATCCCAATCCTACGGCTGACCAACACAAAAGAAAAGTGTCCTTTTGAATTCACAAGTATATAAAATAAAAATTGCAACAGAAGTAAAATGAACTTAATCCAAAAAAACTTAAGTAGAATAGAAGTAAAATCCTGAAAAAGGATATTCTATAGCCTAGTATGATGCAAATGAGATACACAATTTACTGATAAGATCGTTTAGTGCCCGTTTGGATGCACCCAAAATTGGAATATTTTTGGATTGCAATCCAAAAATCTTGTGAAACGGACTTTGAACCATTTGGACAACTGCAAGATATTGCTAGATTTTTAGATTTTGAAAGAAAGAACACTGCCGTGTCAAGGCAAACATTTCCGCCAAAAACAATTCTGAATTTTTTAAGTCTGGCCTTCTCTCACCCCGTGCAAACCCACACTGTGACCCAACAACCCAACTCTCTCTCTCTCTCTCTCTC